AATGCGGGGACTATTTGTATATGGCTAAAATTGGGAAGACCAATTTTACGGTCGACAAGGTATTACACAATCTCATCTCGAAGGGCCCGGAGAACAGCCCGGAGTCTAATGTCTTCGGGGATCCTTCATGCCTGGTGTCGGGGCAGAACAAACCGGTGCTTTTCGCAAGTAATTTGTCACACCCCAACCTCGGGAGGCGCGATCGGTGCTCAATTGAGTGAACCCAACTGAGCAAGCCTTATCAAACACTTCCTACCCAACTCAATATGAATAAGAAAACCATGCTTTCATTGATTTAGACGAGGAAAGATAGTACATTAAATGTTGTTAGTTCATTTTATATCATAACGTTAAGCCGTAGTTAAGCTCCAAGATTCCATACAATTACACTTTAGAGAAGAAAGAGTTAGAACTACAACATAGTTCTTAGACCCATACAACACCCGTACATAACCCACGCATATGTCTACGGAGCCTCTAAAGATGTAAAAGACAAGTATGACAATACCGGCAACAAGGTCTCGACTATACCTCAAAAGTGGAAGTCCACAACAAAAGAGGTGCAATATAACCCCTTGAAGGAAAGGGGCTCACCAAGACTTTGAGAAGAAGGTACTCCGCTATGTGCGATCGACATTATCCGCAATGGAGCCACCTACATTCATTTTAAAATGTAGTGCACCCAGCAAAAGGGACGTTAGTACCATGGAATAGTACTAGTATGTATAACTAAACATCATCTAGTTAGAAAGAACTTTCATACGAAACATAAGGAAAGCACAAGTATAACTCAAAAGCTTTAAACGTTGACAACATTATCAATGTAGAAGAATCATACAATTTTCGCATTATGTTTCCATAGCCTTTAGTTCGGGGCATTTCATACTATTCATCATTGTTCGCTATACCACCACTAGCTTGAGCGGAGTCCGATCTCGACCCGATCGGCTAGGTTGCCTCATTTGAGACATATATTTCAATCACAATCTCATTTTCCCCTTTTTATCTGGGGTTCAATATCAACACAATACCACCATGTGTGCGGCATGGCATCCGATCTCGGCCCGATCTGCTAGGCTTCCTTACCAAGGCATTTCCCTTTTCTATTAATCATCTCAATTAAATCTTTGTATCACATATATCATTTCATAGGTACTTGGGGCCACAGCTATCAGGTCATATATTTGGCACTAGGCCACATTTCACATCATTCCCAATTTCAATGTTAGATTGGTAATTTAGGATAATATGTCCACACAAGAGCAAAATAAAGTTGTAAGTGTAGATGAGACTTTACATAAAGGACACAACATATACAACTTCAATCTCAATTTAAGTTCTAAGCATTTTAGTACATGATTCATATTCCTGGCCCCCTTTCAAGTTAACAAGAATAGCACATTTATCATGTTGAGACACATCTTTCACGCATATAAAGTTACAACCCCAAATTCATATGAAACAACAATCCATACAACAATTCAACTCTAATATTACCATAATTACGCAAACACCGACGGAGCTCAATTTTTAAAAGACGGGGTTTTAGCCATACATACCTCAATTGAGCTTTTCTTAATCCTATAATGTTTGCACTTCAATCTATTTAAGCAATATAGCACATTTTAACCCATAATCAGGAAAAGATCATAATCTAAGCTCACTTGAGCATTTTATCAATCATTGAGTGTTCATTAAGGCCTTATGGTCCTTTTATGCAAGATTACACTTAGCACATTCCCCATGTTTCTCTATTTATAATTTCCCCATATCTTCTAAGAACACATGCATGCAATGCAATCACCCTTACCCCCATGAATTTCCTCACTAATAATCCCTTATGATATGCGGCCCGCAGAATGGACCACAAAAATGCCCAAAACCCTAAACAATCTGCCTGGGTATGTGACCAGAATATGGTCCGCATACCCGTTCTACGGTCGCAAAATGCACCGCAGAACTACTCCTCGCAAAAGTTCCAAGGGGATTATGCGACGACTATGCGGCCCGCATATAGATTATGCGATCGCATATTTGGCTGCATAGTTGACCTCAAATTAACCTTCACACTGCCTGACTTTGCGGTGACTATGCGGTCTACATAGCTATTATGTGACCGCAGAGTTGACCGCAGAATTGCACTTTTTTGGAAAATACTATTCTTTAACTTTTTAATGCACAGATCAATCCAAAGGGTCATGGTCCTAACTTGGCACCACAAGACTCGGGTTTTTAAGTAGAAATTTCGCGGGGCCTTACATAAGCGGGAAGTTCCCTAGGAGCAATACTCTCTGACAATGCGTGCGCAAACAGTGACAGTTTGCACCAGGCTGATTGAGTGGTTGTACTAGCTACTTTATGTAATAAGTATACGTGTCATATAGGGATTTTCCCCTCATATATAAAGGGGACCTTTTGTCCTTTTGAGGGGCGACATACACAATATTGAATATACATGAACATTCTCTCTTCTCTCTAATATATTCTCTTGATTTCATTACTTACATTTATTGATCATATTCATAGTGTTCTATTTATTGTTCTTCATTTGTTTCTCATTATTAATCATAAAGAGCCGCTATCGTAGCTCTCATAACTGTTAATCCTCCCCCGATTGCCCTAAGTCGGGCATCCAACTCGACCTCGAGGCCCCGTATATGTCAGCTCGAGGCCCCGATTTCTGACCATTCGATTTGGTTATTACATTATCTACAAGATCTTATCTTATTTTTCAGTCTTTCACTTAGAATCTATTGCCTAACAACTAGCATAAAAATAGATTGCATATTTTTAGAACCACAAAATCAAATCTAATTGTAATTACCATATTCAACGTAAACACTTCTCCTCTAGAATGTTTCTCTTTGAGAGCCCTTTTTTATGTAGATTTATGGAGCCTTTGACCTCAAACCGGAGATTAAGATCTTCCCCTAGCTTTCTTCGTGCCTCAGCCTATAGATCAACAGAAGGCCCGAGGTCACTCTATGACTCATCCTCTTCAGACTAGAAGGAGTGCTCAGCAGTAATGCGGATTGACTGAGCGCGCTGAAGTTTTGCTTGTATTGATTGTTGGCTAGCATTGGTAGCCCTTTTTCTGTCTATGACTAGGCGGTGATTGCGTTAGATTAGACTTTATTGGTGCCATTCCTCTTGATGAAATATTGTAGGATGAGCGAAATAGCATAGGGAAATTATTAGAGACAAAAGGAAGAAATGAGCAAAATATGCGATGGGCTATGCGATCGCATATTAACTATGCGGACCGCAAACCCTTCGCATATTTGCACAAGCATAAAGCCATAAATAGTTATGCGATCGCAAAACCAACTGTAGAAGTGGTTCTACGATCGCAAAGTGGTCGCATTTTGTAGAGCCAGAAGGGCTGGTAGACTGCTTCACTATGCGACGTGTATGCGGACCGCATAATGGGTTTGCGATCGCAAAACCCTTTTTACATTAGGTCACATAGGGGTCTTATGCGATGACTTTGTGTATTTCAAAGCAATTATGTAGCCCGCAAAAGAGAGGGGTACTCAGACTTCCACCTTTTTGGTCACAGCCCTAACAATTGATTCACACACAGTCAATTCACATACAGGAGGGAAAGGGGTTCTTAGACTTCCCCCTTTTTGTTTTATCAACAATTAATCAACCACAATCTCACAATAAGCTACCATGCTCAGAGGGATTCAAAAGGGTCGGGGAAGTGAGCAATCTGAGCTTAGAGCTCAGGAATACATATGTATTACACAGACTAGATGGAGAAGGAGGCACATACCAGATGCACGATATGCTTTGTGAGAAAACAAATTCCTCTTGTGAGTACTAAGTCCTTTTTTATGCTTTTCCTTTTCTTCTTTAGATGATAACAAGATTTTCTTTTTATTTTATTTTTTCGTTCTTTTGATTGTGTCGTTTAAGCATGAGTATGTGAATAGAGTGAGGACTACAAATGCAGAGAGTTAGGGTACCTGGTAAATGTGTGGTGCCTAAGTCTGTCACATAACATAGTGTGCGATCGCATATATGTTGTGCGATGGACTGATGACTGGGCAGCCTAAACTCATTATGCGATGCAGAATGCGTACGCAAAGTGGTTATGCGGGCCACATAAGGGAAAAACCTACTGCATAATTTACAACTAATGTAACCAATTTCTCTGCGTGGGTCTGCGATGACTATGCAGTTCGCACAATCAATATGCAACCGCATATGCGACCGTATAGTTGTTACCAAATCTAGACCTTTCTTTCCTTCAGTTTCTTCAGCACTAGGACCCTGTTCATGATATTTTGGGACTACCTGCACTCTAGCACACACGTCAACTTGCTCAATATAAACTACGTAAATAATAATAAAAACTACAAAAGAGTGTTACCATACATGGGTTGCCTCCCAAGAGGCGCTTGATATAACCTCACGGCACGACGCAGTTGATCCCTTCTGGATTTTTCATTGGTAAGGGCTGTTGTTGGACTACCCTTAGAGTAAATTGGTCTATCAAATGCCTTTCTCTATGGTACCGAGGTAGTGCTTGACTCATTATCCAGTCACCTTGAAAGTTCGAGTCCCATCCTCCTACTCCAGTTCAATAGCACCATAGGGGACACACTCACAACTTTGAATGGGCCTGACCATTTGGACTTGAGTTTACCCGAAAATAACTTGAGTCTTGAATTGAAGAGTAGGACCAAGTCACCAGAATTGAACTCCCGCTTCAAGATTTTCTTATAATTTTCAAACTTCATTCTCTCTTTGTACATGGCTGCACTCTCATAGGCATGGAGATGGAATTCTTCCATCTCATTGGGTTGTGTCATTCTCAGATTAGCAGCCTCGGCCTAGTCAAGATTCAACTTTTTCAATGCCCACATGGCTTTGTGTTCAAGCTCCACTAGCAAGTGATATGTTTTGCCAAAAACCAACCGGTATGGTGAAGTGCCAATGGGGGTCTTAAATGTTGTACGATATGCCCACAACGCATCATCTAGATTCTTTGACTATTCGGTCCTGTTTGCATTGAAAGTTTTAGCTAGGATGTTTTTGATTTCTCTGTTAGAAACATCAACCTGACCACTCGATTGAGGATGATAGGGTGTGGCCACCTTGTGCTTTACACGATACTTTTCAAGCATCCCGACGAAAGCCTTGTTGTAGAAATGAGACCCACTATCACTCAGGATGGCCCTTGGAATACCAAACCATGTGAATATGTTCTTCTTCAAAAATGCGGTCACACTCCTTACTTCATTGTTAGGTAAGGTGATTGCCTCAACCTATTTAGAGACATAGTCCACAATCACCAAGATGTAGGTCATGCCATAAGAGCTCACGAAAGGTCCCATAAAGTCTATCCCCCACACATCAAAGATCTCGACCTCTAGTACAAAATTCATAGGCATCTCATGTCTTTTAGATATTGACCCTTGTCTTTGACATTGGTTTCATGCCTTGACCATTTTATTTGCGTCTTGGTATATCGATGGCCAATAGTAGCCACATTCAAGCACTTTTGCCACCGTCTGATTTCCTCCATGATGACACCCAACTGGAGAATCATGGCATGCCTTGAGAATTGGCATTACCTCATCTTCCGGAACACACCACCTGATGATGTTGTCAGCACAAATATGGAACAAAAAGGGTTCCTCCCAATAGTAATGCCTACACTCCCCCAAGAACTTTTTCTTTTGATAACCTTCCAATCTAGCGGGAACAAGGTCACTAACCAATAAGTTAGCGATGTCGTCATACCAAGGAGCAAATGTGTTAGATAATGCCAATATGTGTTCATCTGGAAAAGCATCATTGATTTCAAGGTCTTCTTTTGGTGTCCCTACCTCCTCAAGCCTAGATAGGTGATCCGCAACTTGATTTTCTGTCCCTTTCCGATCCTTGACTTCAAAGTTAAACTCTTGCAACAAAACCCACCAAATCAATCTTGGTTTGGCATCCTTTTTTGCCATAAGATAGCGAAGAGCAGCATGGTCGGTGTACACTATCACTTTGGACCCCAACAAATAAGCCTAAACTTTTCAAAAGCATAGACAATGGCGAGAAGTTCTTGCTCGGTCACAGTGTAATTCATTTGAGCACCATTGAGTGTCTTGCTTGCATAGTAGACAGGGTGAAGGATCTTGTTATGACGTTGGCCAAGCACCACCCCAATAGATACACCACTTGCATCACACATGAGTTTGAATGGTAGAGACCAATTGGGTGTGACAATAATAGGTGTCGTGGTGAGATTTTCTTTCAATTCCTTAAAGGCCTTGAGGCACTTCTCATCAAATACGAACTTTGCATCTTTCTCAAGGAGTTTGTACATGGGATTTGCAATTTTGGAGAAGTCCTTGATGAAACGCCTATAGAAGCCAGCGTGCCCCAAAAATCTTCGAACACCTTTAACTGAAGTAGGTGGAGGAAGCTTGGAAATGATCTCTATCTTTGCCCGGTCAACCTCTATGCCATGTTTGGAAATTTTGTGGCCCAAAACAATGCCCTCGTCCACCATCAAGTGGCATTTCTCCCAATTAGCATAAGGTTTGTTTCTTCACATATTTTGAGTACTTGTCTAAGGTTGTCAAGACAATGCTCAAAGGAATCACCTACTACAAAGAAATCGTCCATAAACACCTCTAAGAAATCTTCCATCATTTCTGAGAAGATTGACATCATGCACCTTTGGAAAGTAGTCGGAGCGTTGCATAGCCCAAATGGAATACGGCTAAATGCAAATGTCTTATATGTACAAGTGAATGTTGTCTTTTCTTGATCCTCCAATGCAATATTGATTTGGTTGTAGCCAGAATATCCATCCAAAAAGTAGTAGAATGACCTTCCCGCTAGCTGATCAAGCATTTGATCAATAAAAGGCATAAGGAAATGGTCTTTGCATGTAGCACTGTTTAGCTTCTTGTAGTCCATGCAAACCCTTCCGGTCACTGTTCTCATTGGGATGAGCTCATTTCTCTCATTTTCAATCACGGTCATGCCTCCCTTCTTCGGCACACATTGCACCAGACTCACCCAAGAACTATCGGCAATGGGGTAGACTACCTCGGCATCTAACAACTTGATGATTTCTTTCTTTACCACCTATTGAATGGAAGGGTTTAACCTTCGTTGATGCTCTACACTTGGTTTACTCTCATTCTCCAATTGTATTTTGTGTTCCCAAATTTCAGCGGGAATCCCTCAGATATCCGCTATTGTCCACCCAATAGCTTGCATATGCTGCTTCAAGACATTCAATAGTTGTTCTACCTGCACATCATTCAACAAAGAAGAAACAATTACCGGTAGAGTGTCTTAGAGCCAAGAAATTTATACCTCAAGTGCGGTGGAAGTGGTTTGAGCTCAAGTTGCGGCGGCTCAATAACTGAAGACTTGGTGGGAGGAGTGACTCTATTCCCTAAAACAAGAGAGAGTTTCTTTGGAACATAAGTGTAGGACCCAAGCCCTTCTAATGTATTTATTGATTCCATGTACCCCTCCATGTCTTCACCATTGAAATTTACCAAAATAGCCACCAACACCTCACCAAGGCATTATTCTTTCATCTTCATCTCAACTGCATCTTCCACCTCATCAACAACATCAATCACCAAGATACTTTCATATTCATGTGGCAGCTTAATACCCTTGCTTGCTTGGAATGTGACTTCTTCATCATTAACATGTAACTTGATCTCATTCCGTTCTGAATCCATAACTGCTCTTCCAGTAGCAAGAAATGGTCTCCCCAAGATGATAGGGATCTTAAATATGGTGAAATTGGAGGGTTCAATTTCTCGTTACCAAAGCACATCTGAAGACCGTCTCGAGGTCTCGAGGCTACAAGGTTATGGTCGAGTCTCCTCCCTCGAGGTTCGTCGATGCTCGGTCTTGGGATAATGTTGACCACGGCTACGGTAGAAATGGGGAGTTCCCAAGGCACGTGGCTAGGACTAACAGAGCCTAGAGAGCTACTCTAAGACCCGAATTAGGGTGTCATCTAGTTGTCACATCTTCGTATCTTTATAATTAATGCTTGTAGTACTATGATATGATTCACCTCCTATATAAAGGCGATCCTTTCCACTTTGTAAGGGGTTGTTGTTGCTTCAATTACCCCACATGCAATATACAAGAACATTTTATTTGTGCTCTAACATATTCTCCTGATATTATTGCTTTCATTTATTATCTTCATATTTGTTCATCATTTATTGCTTATCATTGTCCATAAAGCTCCATTAATTTTATTAGGCATAATGGCGTCCTGGACACTTAAACTTGTACCAAATTTTAAAGTCGATATACAAACTTACATTATTCCCATTTGAACACTCAAACTCACATATCTGGTAACTAATAAACCTATTTGACCGTTGACCATACACATGTGGCAGTGACAGAGAAGATGTGGACAAAGTATGTGCAAGTCACGAAAATTACACACATGACTACAATAATTTTGATTTAAAAAAATCTAAAACCAAAAAAATATAAATATAAATTAAAAAGAAAGAAAATAAACCAGGCCCACTTCCCCATCCCTCAACAAAATTCCCTTCACCCCACACGTTCTTTTCCCCCATTGTCGTCCTCCCCCACCTCCCCCTTCTTTTCTTTCCCACCCTCTCTAATCTACCCCATTCCTCCTCTTGTCTTGGGGGGAATTTCCTACCAGATGCACATCAAAAGTTTTGGGGATAAAATCAAACTCTTTGATTTCACCATTTGCATATAAAGATTTCAATGTTTTCCTTAGTATAAAATTAATCATAGTGATTGTTTTCTGTCAATTTTGTGATTGATGTGTATTCTAAATCCTAATCTAAGTAATCTAATTCATGTGATCTAAATGAGGCCATTAATTAGCCTTCTACATATATAGGGAACTCTTCAAAATGGATATGTCTTTCAGTTGACCACCAAAAAAAGAAGGAAAAAGAAATTACTTGTATCCTTGGCAGACAAACGAAATTTGATTTAGAAATAAGAGATGGAAAGAACACGGAAGAAAAGGAAAAAAAATTAAGGAAAGTAATGGAGGTGGGTGAACGGAAAAGAAGGGAGATGTGGGTGAACGGAGGGAAGTGTCCGGTCTTTTTCTCTCTTTTTTTTTTTTAATTTGTGACTTCTTTTTTTCTTATTTAGTATTTAAGAATAGGACTCACAAATAATACATGTCAAGTAATAAATAGTCTAGTATATGATGCATTGTACATGTCAGCGCAATTGATATACACGTACTACTTGATGTATTTATTTGTACTCATTCCGTCAAGTTCGAGTGTTCAAATGGGAATAATGTAAGTTTGCATATCGGCTTTAAAATTTGGTACAAGTTTAAGTGGCCAGGAAGTCATTACGCCATTTTATTCTAACTGTCAGTCGAATAGACACTGCCTTCGATAGCTCGTAGTCGAGCTCCGGGATCGACCTCGAGGCCCCGATAATTGTCCTAATGGTTTGATTTTCGCCCTACCCTTAACTCCCATTTCGTTTCTAAGTCTCACATACACAGCATCAACTGCTTAACAAACTAGCATAAAAATAAATCACGTATTTTTAGAGTCCCATCAACAAATTTAATTGTTATTACCATTTCCACGGTACACAGTTTGGTGCCCACCGTGGGGCTAAAATAATAATGATTATTTTCTTGCTGGTTTCGTCCTATAATGCAAGTTATCTTTCACGCTTTTTCTTGTCCAAGATCTTCGATTTCAGGTCGAAATTTCTAACTCAGTAAACGGATGTGAAAACAACAATCTTGTGGACCACGGAGAAAACAGTGTGGAAGTTCTAGGTGTTGGTATGCCACCACAAAACCCTGGGAATGCTCCACAACCAATCCCCATAGATGCAGTCTCACGCGACGCCCAACGAGTCGATATAAGCTTGCATATCGACGGGAGCGAGCGTCAGGGAGATCCACAAGAAGCTCAGAAGACCCTGACTAGGGAAGAACGTGAGGTTAGCCTTCATATTATTTTTGAAATATGGCAGGCACAACAGCTAGCTATTGCTCGGCTGCAAAGTCACCAGAAAACTCCCAGCACGATAGCACCGGAGACAGCTCCCTCAGCCGAGTGGATACCGGAGAAATCGAGCAATAACGGGTCGATGACCCATCGCGCCATTGTAAAAATGCTCGAGGACCTCACCAGAAGGATCAAATCGGGTGAGAAATTGATAGAAGTCAACGACAAGAAGGTCGAGATCTACAACTCCAGGGTCGACCAAATTTCGGGTGCACCCCTAGTCTTGAAAGGTGTGAATTCGAAGAAGTTCATACAAAGGCCGTTCCCGGAGGAAGCGTCCCCAAAACCCATTCCAAATAAGTTCAGGATGCCAGAACTCCCAAAATACAACGGAACATCGGATCCCAATGAGCATGTCACCGCTTACCCCTGTGCAGTAAAGGGTAATGACATAAAGAACGACGAGATCGAGTTTGTCTTGCTGAAGAAGTTCGGGGAAATACTCTCAAAGGGGGCCATGATATGGTATCACAACCTAGCTCCTAACTCCATAGACTCATTTGCCATGTTGGTTTACTTCTTCATAAAATCACATGACGGCGCCATGAAATTAGCAACGAGGAAATCTGACGTCTTCAAGATCAAGCAAAGGGAGAACGAGATGCTACGAGAATTTGTAACCCGCTTTCAAACGGAACGAATAGAACTACCACTGGTCTCTGACGACTAGGCAATACAGGCTTTTACTAAAGGTCTGAATGAACGAAGCTCGATGGCTTCAAAAAAGCTGAAAGAGAATTTGGTCGAATATCCAGTCGTGACCTGGTCGGACGTCCACAATCGATACCAGTTGAAAATCAGGGTCGAAGATGACCAGCTGGGAGCCCCCTTGGGCTCGGTATACCCAAGCAGGCTCTTAGCGAAGGAGCCAAAGCCGAACAAAGAAAGATATCAATCATACGCCGAAGATAGGAGGAACGCCTCGAGGCGCA